ACACACACACACACACACTCCGGTTCACATACCCTGCTTATTTTACTCCATTAATCACGGAATAGGAAAAAACTGAATCGTTCAACTGTAAACATCCTTTTGTGCCAACCTCAGATGATAAATCAATTAATTTGGTTCTTTTTTTACCCCATATTGTGATTGTTCATCTTAGAACATCCACGTGAGCCAGTAACTCATAGGTTCTTGTGTTTTTGAATGAAAGGAAATTGTCACCAAATGTGGATTAAACCAGTTAATCATTTATCCCCATCCATATGCTAAACAGTTTAACTTCAAAGTAGATGACAGCTCACGAAACGTCACTCATCACGAGGCAAAAGACATTAGTGAGAATAAGTCATGAGTCAGAGGAAAGACTTATTTCTGTTCATTTGCCGTAGCAGATGACGTCCGTCTTTCTAAAAACACACACTGCCTGATTACCTCATACCAGAGATAATGAAAGAAGATTGATTTCAGCCACTCACCTAATTGGACAGTAAAACACCACTGGCAAGATCAAGCCTTAAAGGAACTGTTCATCCAAAAATGTATTCTATTAAAAGTCTGATAGTACAGTTGTGGATGAGTTATAGTTGAATGGACAAGAACTGCTTGAACATTTTTCACAATATCTAATCTTGTGTTCTGTGTTAAAAATAACAGAATACAGGATTGGAACGACATGAGGGAGATTAAATTTCATTTTGAATAAACTGTCCATTTAAACTTGTATACATTTACTACAGCTAAGCACAAACTATCAAATCTAGTGTGGTCAACAGTGGTTGAACGGTATGTTAATTTCCTCATGGCAGAATAAATCACTGCCTCCTGCAGTTCCATCACACTGCATTTTGCCCCTGCCTCATTATGTCCTGACTGTTGTTTTCTAGCCACCGTGTGGCTGCATGTAATGGTGTACTGCTCCACGGTCAGTGAAACACAGAGCGGTGTAATGGATTAGCTATGTTGACAGGTTCAGTGTGGCCCATTACCTTACTGATCTTTGTCAGAATCCCAGCCTACTCAGTTCAGCGCTGAGGCTGACTGATTTTAACATTACCCACAATTATCTAATAAAAGTGCTTTTGCTCTTTGAGTGTCTTACTTGTTGCCAGTAATTGAGAAAAAAAGGTTCAGGAGATTGAGCTTTTGCCAGTTGTGCTTTTGTTCCTCGTGTTGCGATTCATTCATCTTTCTATCTATTTCCCTGTCTATCGTTCTATTGTTCTGTGTGTCTGTCATTCTATCTATCTGTTGTTCTATCATTCTGTCTGTCTCTTTATTGGTCCATATAGCGGTCCATCTATTGGTCTGTCTGTCTGTCTTGATCATCTATCTATCTATCTATCTATCTATCTATCTATCTATCTATCTATCTATCTATC